ACATCAGTTTTACATATTGAACCCTGTTTTTAAAATTTTATTAGTGCATGTTTATAATGCATAATGATTACATTCATCGTAGGGAGTTGGTACATGTGACTAACACATTTTAATTCTTTTTACTTCTCTTTCCTCTCCTTTCCCTCTCCTTCTTCCATCTCTTGGTCTCCTTCTGTTCTGAAAAAGATCTATCTCCCTATTTCCTATTATCTGTCTTTTATTTTGGTCTTTAGATTATTTATTTATTTATTTGGTACTGGGGATCGAACTCAGAACCTTGAGTGTCAGGCAGTGCCACCACTGAGCCAAATACCCAATCTTTAAATTATTTATACTTTGGGTTCTCATACAAAAGAAATCATGTAATATTTAAGCTTATGTTTCTGATTTATTTTGCTTAACATTATGGTCTCAAGGTGCATCCATTTTTCTCCAAATAACTCAAGTTTATCCTTCTTTATGCAGAGTAGTACTCCACTGTGTATAAGTAACACATTCTCTCTATCCATTCATCTGTTAATAGATGTGTAGGCCACTTTCAAGATTTAGCTATATGAGCTGCGCTGTTATAAATGTGGGTATGCATATATCACTGTATTATGATGTCTTAAACTCTTTCAGGAAGATACTTAGAAGAGGAATAGCTGGGTTGAAAGGAATGTCTTTCTTCCTCCTCTCCCTCTTCTTCCTCCTCCTCTTTTCTTTTTTGGTTTTTTGAAAAAGAATCTTGCTATGTAGTTCAGGCTGGCCTTGAGCTCACTAAGTAGCCCAGGCTGGCCTCCAACTTTCAGCAATCCTCCTGCCTCAGCTTTTCAAATGGAATTTCAATTTTCAGTTTTTTTGAGGAATTTCCATACTGATATCCATAGTGGTTGTACTAGTTTACATTCCCACCAATATTACTTTTTCCCCTGCAGTCTTATCACCATCTGCTATTATTTGATTTCCTTTTTTTATTATTTGATTTCTTAATAAGTCACTCCTTCTGGAGTAAGATGGAATCTCATTGTTGTTTTAACTTGCATTTCTCTAGTGGCCAGAGATGTTGAACATTTTTTCATGTTTTAATTGGTCATTTGTATGTTTTCTGAAAAATATCTATTCATTTCAGTTGCTCATCTTTTGATTGGGTCTTTTATTTTGGGCAGTCTAATTTTTTAAAGTTCTTTACATAGTCTAGATATTAGTTCTTTATCCAAGAAATAGCTGGTAAAAAAGTTTTTTCCCTTTCTGTAGGTTGTCTCTTCCTTCATTCTGTTGTTTCCTTTGCTGGGCAGAAACTTTTTAACTTGATATGATCCCATTTGTTGATTCTTGATGTTATTTTTTAAATTAAATTCAATATTTATTGGTAATTTTTAAAATACAAAGCTTTGTAAGCTATCAACATCACCTTTAACAAAATTTTTAGCAAGAAAGATACTGAAACGTGTAATATCAAAATTTCAGAAATAAGATGGAGAGACATACTACTCTAAGTCTTATCCAACATTTTTTCTGAAGGTTCTGGTCAACAAAATAAGAGAAAGAAACAATAGGTCAAAATATTGAAAATAAAGAGGAAAACTTGCTATTAGATTATATGCATGTCGACATAACAAAACCAAGTGGATTAAAAAATAAGAAATAACAGCTGCTGGGTTCAGGCCAGCAAACCCTGATAAGAGACAGATGAATGAAAACGCTAGAGACAGAAAATATCTGGGACGGGAGGGTGGCAGGAATCTTCAGCAGAATGGAATGAAGTACAAAACTGATTCAAGCCCCCAGATTTATGAGGAACAACAAAGGCATAGTTTTGCTGAGAGCAGATGTTTGTTTTAGGTTAGCAAGGCAGGCAAGCAAGGCATGGTGACAGTTTGGCTGAATAATTAACTTTTATCTGATTGTCCCCTAAGGAGCTTCCTTGTCCATCCCCTCTCTCCCTGGCAGGTCCATCTCTGCTCCAACTGGCAAAACATGCCATCTTCAAGAAGTTCTGACTCTGCGGGGTCAGCAGTCTTCCACCTCCTGAGTCAACTGGAGCATACACCTGTTGGGTGTCAAAAGAAACTCCACAAACAGCATTCACCAAGGTAAGTATATGGATATAAATTCAATATGTAAAAAAGTTTTAACCTTTTTTCTGAGAATTTATTTTTATTCAAAATCGGGCAAGCGATTTAGCTCACTGGTGCAGCGCCTGCCTTGCATGCAAGCGCAAGATCCTGAGTTCCACCCGTCCCCCGCCCTCTGCCCTCTGCCCCAGTATGGCAAAACAAACAAACAAACAAAAAAATCAAAATAGACCACACTCACAGCAACAATAAATACCTTAACATATCCAAAGAACTGGAAATCCTGCGGAAGCGATCTCTCTTACTATATTGGAGTGAAATGAGAAGCTGACTGCAGAAACATACTGTTAGTTACTTTTTTCTCATTGCTGAGACAAAACACCAGACACCCAAAGTTAGAGGCAAAGGGGTTTATTTGGCTTATAGTTCCTAGAGGTTTCAGTCTGTAATCAGCTGTCTCCAAGGCAGGGTGATGTAGCAGACAGGCATTGCAGAGGAGAAACAGTTCATGGGATTAGGAAGACAGCAAAAGCAAGAAGAGAATTTAACTGTGACTTTCTGGCTCTTTTATCTTACTCAGACTACCGGGATTAGGGTGGTGCCAAATCAATCACTCATATGTAGTGTTTCAGTAATCACACACCCTTAATCCTAGCATCACACACTTTAGATTCACCCACCTCTGAAAAAGATTGCATGAGGCTTGGGGGCCATCTAAACACAAGCCACAACATATACTTAGAATATAATCACTTGTTTTCTTTCTCTCTTTTCTACTAACTTTTTCATATAAGGGAAACCATACAATCTTGATGTTATTCTTGTGCAACTGAAGTTCTGTTTAGAAAGCTCTTTGCCGAGGCCTCTCTCTTCAAGAGTTTTACCTATTTTATCTTCTAGCAGATTAAGTGTTTCTGTTTTAACATTTAGCTCTTTTTTTTTTTTTTTTTTTTTTTTTTTTTTTTTTTTTTTTTTTTTTTTTTTTTTTTTTTTTTTTTTTTTTTTTTTTTTTTTGGTGCTGGGGATTGAACTCGGGTCCTTGCACTAACATTTAGCTCTTGATCCATTTTGATTTGTTTAGCACATGATGAGAAATATAGGTCTAGATTCAGTCTTCTGCATGTGCATAGCCAGTTTTCCCAGCACCATTTGTTAAAAGGCTGTCTTTCTTCTACCACATTTTTGGCTCCTTTATCAGAGATCAGATAGGGGAATGTGCCTGGGGTTGTTTCTGCATCCTCTATTCTGTTTCATTTATCCACATCTCATATTGAACCCTTCTGATTACTTACTTCTTGTGGGGTATGCTTTTTTTTTTTTTCTTTTGGTACTGGGGATTGAACTCAGGTCCTTACGATTTCGAGGCAGGCAGCAGAACCACTGAGCTAAATTCCCAGCCCTTGTGGGGTATGCTAAAGGTATGTTTATTTAATAAAAATTAGAGGGCAAAATCTACTAAAGCAACACATGGCAGATTTTTTTGCTGCGATTGAAGAAAATGTTGTGACAAGGAACCATGCTTATTGTAATGTGAACTATGCATTGTTACAGAGGATATTTCACATATCATGCAATATCAACAAACCATTTATTATACATATTTGCCTGTTTCCAGATTTTATGGCCAACCTATAAAGCTGTCCAATATTGTTATATATATGGTCTCTGAAATTTCACAATTCACTTTAGCTTTTCTAGGATATAAGAAGTCCTTAAATTTCATTTGACCCAGATTCAGTAACAAGAAAGGGGCCTTTTTACTTTTATGCCTTTATTTTTGTTTTACACACTTAAATTTGTGAAGATTATCTTTCTGTTTGCATCTGGCAGAGTAAAAAAGCTGCAGCCACACAATGACAAACATGATTTTTGCTTCACTGCTCTGCAGAAAGGAAAGATGGCTGCAGTTTGGACAAGAGAGAGCAGAATTTCTCTGTGAGCCTCAGGGATCCCATGTGACAGGCTGCAGTTTGCCCTCCAGAACCAAATCCCTCAATTTTTAATTTAAAAAGATAAAGAATACTGTTTGGAAAGAAAGTTTTTGTAAGACTACAGATTATGACAGTTTTACAAAAATCATTGGACTCTGACGTCTTGCTGTTTTAAAACTTTTTGCTTACTGATGACCCCCTAGAGATAGCCTCCAATCAACCAAGGTATAGCTTAGTGTGTGAACACATTTCAACTCCAGTCTAAACCATTCAGAACAACTTGTAGAACTATCAGGGCCAATACAGTTGTTCAAAAGAAATTACTTCACCTCATCCCATTGGTCCCCTTTTATCCCTTTAAAAACTCAGTGTTCCTTATCCTCAGTGAACACTTAATTTGGTTTTTAACTGAAGCTGTGTCTCCTGATTTACCTATGTATAATGTAACTGAATAAAAACTATCTTTGCTTTTATTTTAATGTCATTTGAGATTTCTTGGTTTATACTCCCAAATATTCATTTTGTCAGTCTACCCATGTTAATATGTTGGATATCATTTCCAGGAACTCAATTTTTGAAATCTTTAGAAAAGAGAAAGCTTCATGAAAGATTTCATTTTCTTTTCTTCTTTTTTTGGGGGGGTATCAGGGATTTTTTGGGGGTATCAGGACCTTGTGCTTGCATGGCAGGTATGATGCCACTGAGCTATATCCCTGGCCCTGATTTCTTTTTCTAAAGGTGTTATGACATGAAATCTTCAGAGACAAGCCAATGTTCAACCTTTTGCAGAAAATGTTCAACCAACCAAAGTTCTATTAATGTTAATACACTGTAACTTACATGATAAGATTTATGGTAAGGTTCTTGTGCTTCATCCAATGGTTTAAGAAAAAAAAAAGTAGAGGCATAGGGGAGAGAATTAGAAAAACAACAAAGCAAGAGAGAAATTTAAATTCTGAATAGTTTCAAGTGAAATAAAAGGATAAACATAATGGCTGTAAGCTCTCCGTGGTCAGGAATGTTGCTTTTTATTTAGGACAATTACGTTATCTACTGCTTAGGCTCATATGCTCAGGTTTGTCTGCCTTCCCTTGACCAAATCAAAGGAGGCCATATATTTGGGTAAATAGGAAAAAGGATTTATTCAAAGCTAGCTCCGAGGAGAAGGGGCCTACTTGCCTCAAATCACCATCTCACCCTTTACAGGTGGGCAAGGGTCTTTTACTGTAAGGAACAGAGGGGAGGGAAAACAGAAGGATAATGCAGGTCTTACTTTATCACTTCTAGCCATCTTTAGTTTATAGTCCCCTTTTCTGTGGAAAGGAAACTGGGCTCCTGGGCTCCTGGTGTCAACATCTGCATATTCCATTCCTTTATCTGGGCCCAGAAGAGGTGCTGTTTATGCTCTAGGCCTCAGGAAGCCACTTGTCTCTAAAGGAAAAAAAAATCCATTAGGTAGTGCTGGTTACCATTACACATGGAAATATTTAATAATATTTAAGATTATTTGATTGATGGGATATTAGTTTAGCATTTCTTCTGCTTTTTATTTTTACATTAATTAACGCTGTATGTTACAGGACAATTGTCAAAAAGCTTAGCTTGGAAATATATGCTTCTGGGATAGACTTTATTAAACAACCAAAACCAATTAAAAAAATTTACAACTTTTCTCCTCAACTACTCTGAGAACTAGTCTGAGGAAATGAGTACTTCTTTTTGGGTGGATGGCTAAGAAAGCTGTGTCATGTATCCATAGGTGACTATGGGTACACTGTCAAATAGAGTGCCTTCCTCTCCTGAAGGCAAATATTTTCCAAAAGTCCATCTGAGAGGATGTCATGGCCAACTAGTTTTTTCCCCACTGGTTTCATCCAAAATAGCATAAGGCTACCTGTTCTTTTCTGAGTTTACCAAGTTAATGTTTGCAGGGCAAGTAGATTACTCAAAGAGAGAAGAGCAATCATCATTAAACACATTCTATTGAAAATTTGCTTCAATTTAAAATAGGCATATGCATTTTCATGGAGTGAGTGGTGAAGAATGGAGCAAATCAGCATGTATTCAGCTGGAAACACAGCAGCCTGGGCATCATTCCCTCCTCTGTGGAGACTCTTCTGCTTTGTGATGGAGCTGAAGTACAAACGTGTTCCCTTCCCCCTGTTAAAACTTGGGGTTAGAATATAGTAAACTTTTCATTTTCAAAAGGACTGTCTTTCTTAATAACTGTCAGGGTTAGCAACTACATACTCCTTGATGCAATTATTTGGTCAATGTTTGCCTCTCCCTTGATGGCAACAGGCCCTGTGCTGTTTTGCCTAACAATGTATTCACAGGGATGGGCATTATAGTAGATGCCTGAATATATAGCACGTTTGTTAGAAAACATGGCAAGTCAGAGAGAAATTGAAAAAAGAGAGGGCTATCAAAGTGGAAGAAAAGTAAACTATGGCCTCTTCAAACAAGTTTACATATAAGCTACAAGGACTATTGTTGATGTTAAGGCTACTAAAGCTATTTTGGTAAAGGGTTCAGGACCTGAGGAAATTACCATTTTAGATTGGTTCAATTAAGAAAAGTACAGTGGTATCATCATTGTTTGTTCTATATATGAATAAATTCCTGGAGTTCTGGATCTTTAGCTGATGAAGCTTAAAATACCTTAGTTTATTATTTAGACCTCATTCCTATCCCACTTTTAGGCCTGAATCTTTGGCAACCGTAAGATTAAAAAAGATTTTTTTTTCAGTACTGAGAATTGTGCACTGAGCTACATTCCCACCCCTTTTATTATTTGTTTGAGACAGGGTCTTGCTAAATTGTCCAGGCTGGGGTTGATTTTGCACTCACTCAGCCTCCAAGAGTGCTGGGATTAGAGGCATGAGCCACCACACTCAGCTCAAGATAAAATTTAAGGAAAAACATTTGAGCCATGGAGCAGATATACCAACCCAAACACTGACTGAATAGAAATCTCATATTTGACACATGGAAACTGGCTCTCAGTTACTCAGACATCCTCCTCCTAGCATGACCCCTCTTTGGCCATTTCTCCAGTTCTTATTGGTGATCTCTAGATTTGTATTACATCTTTTTAACAGACTGAAGTTTTGTGAAACTTCTACACATCTGGGCCACCAGTGAACTACATTACTCTTGTCCCAGCATTTCTAAGGGTGGCCAGTGTGATTTAAATTTCAGAAGTTTGCGTTATTTTTTTTTAAATGACCTTAGCTACCTAATAACTGAGATTCTGCTTATCTTTCACATTTCAGGGGTGTGTGAGTTTGCCTGAGTTCATACCCAGGTTCCCGTAATATATAGTCTCCAGGATACATCACTCCTCAAACCTTTTTTTTTTTCTCCAAGGTAGTCAATCTGTTAGGTTCTCAGAGCAGGTGATTACAGTTCTGAGGTGATCTCAAAGTCCTTGGAAAGAATCGTCCCAGCCTAAACACCAGGTGATAAAAATTCTTCCACTAGAACCATTCCTTCTTCCGGTTAAAAGCAGTACTTTCTCAGCGTTTCTCACATTTAAGGAGGAAAGACACACAGACAACCCTGTGAGAATGTTCTTCAAAAGATTATCTACCGATCAGGTGAGGACCAGGGCGAGTCTGCCAGCGTCCCGGACCTTGGGGGGGGGGGGGCTGAGATACAGTGCCAGGGGACATGGGAGAGGACAAACTTCTTTTTTAATCCGCTACTGGGCTTCAGGTCACAGGGCGTTTTTCAGGTCCGGCGTGAAGATGCTCGTGGCCCCTTCTTCGCGCTCCGCCCGCCTCCTACCGCAGCGGCCCCCTAGGATCCCTGACTCCTCCCTGCCCCCGAAGGCAGCCCGCAGCCCTCGAGGGCGACTACAGCAGAAGGCTCCGCGCTTGCCCTCGGGGTAACCCTTCAGCCTCCCTCCGCTCCAGAGGCTTTCGGTCACCTCTGCGTAAGTAACAGGAGCCCAGAATCTAAAGGAAACCAACCAGCCATCACTCCCCTCGCCTCCCCTGCAGTGACCAGCAGTCTCATTCCGGCCGCACACTCCGCGTCTCGCGGTCGGATTCCAGCCACCTAGCAGCCCCGCGAATCCTGTCTGTCACCGCTGGCCGCCAGCACCTCTCTCTCCGGCCTGGGCCTGTCCCCGCCTCCCGCCCGCTGCCGCATCGCTCCGCCTCCGGCCCGCGCTCTTGAGAGCACCATTGGTGCGCGTCCGCGCTACAAGGGCGCCCATTGGCCGTTCGGGAAGTCATTTTCTGTGCGCATTCCGCCGCCCGCAGGCTTGGGGGGAAACTTCCTTATTATTGTGACGCCAAAAACGGAGAAACCCCGAGCCCGGCCGCTGGCGCTGTGACAGGAGGAATCCCGAGCTGCGAGTCGGAGGCTGCCGAGGTGCGCGAGGCGGGGGCCCGGGTCGCGGGGAGGAGGGCGCCGCCGAGCTGGGCCGCCGCGTTCCTTGAGGGGCGGCTGCCGGGTACATCGGGGCTCGGGGTGCGGGCAGCGGGGCGCCCCTGGGTTCTCCGGGCTCTCTGTCCGAGAGCCCCGCGCCGGGAATGGCTACCGCGGCTTCTCGAAGGGAGCGCTCCCCGCACCGACTCGGCTGCCCGAAGACTGCTAGGGATTGCGACGCAGAAAGTCAGAAGGCGGCTCCTCTCCGCCTCCTCCCCTGCCCCAGTTTAAATTTGGGGTTCGGGTGACCTCCATGGGGTTTGGACAGCGGACGCTTCTATGGGAAATGCAAGCCGGCGAAGCCTCGGTGTTCCCGGAGCCTAGGCGCCGCGAGGAGTCCGCGATGACAGCGCTGTGGGGCCACGGCGCCCCACACCATCCAACCCGCGAGGCCGCGCGAGTGCCGGGGAGCCCGCCTGCGGGGCGGGGCTTGACGCGGGAGCCCACGAGTCAGTGCGGGCCAGTGGGGCCCGAGTCACTTGTAGGGGGCCATCCGGGACACCAAGACCGAGGAAAGGAGCCTGTGTAACCTGAAGCAGCCCAGGCTGCAGATTGTCATGCAACTGTGCACTGATGCCGCGCGAGCGTGTATGTGCGCGCGCGCGCGTGTGCAGCGTGGGGTCCAGGGAATAAGTATTTGAACTCTGCTGTGTGTTGCTCCATCACTGTCTCTAATAGCTCTCCAATTACGTTTTACTTCGGTTTCAGATCAACTCCATGTGAAAGAACCTTAAATTCATAGCCGACCCTTCCAGAATTTTGCATGGATTCATCTCACATTTAATGGTTTGGGAAAGACGATCCAGGCGCTCTCTCTTCCATTTTTGTGTGCCTTCTAGCTTTTTCCACAAATAGGAAGCTATTTCTAGAACCTTTCATTTGATAACATCAGGTGAACTGATTTTTAATTCTAGACTGGGAAGAGAGAAAAGTGAAATAAAATGAGGATTAACATCCTTTTAAAATGGGGTGACTAGAGAGAGAAGGTGTCATATTTTAGATTACTATTGTGAAGTTCTCACTTTCTGTATTTATCCTGAGGGAGGAAGAAATGGCATTATAAATCAGAAAAGCAAAATAGATAAATTACATATTCCACCTCATTGACTCCCATTGAAGCTAGGAACCTTCTGGAGAAGGTGTAATGCAAGAATCAAGGTTAGAAACTTTGGCATAAAAAAAACCTCGTTTCACTAGCATCCAGTTCTACCTATGTTTAATGAAGCATTTGGGCTTTCATTTTTGAGAAAAGAAGCAGGCATTTTAAAGATGTTCCAGTTGATGTGGTTGCAGCCTTTGGTTATAAGCTTTTCATTCTGAGGAACAAATTTGAGTTTCTCAGATTTGCATATCCAATTAAAAACAGTTTTTTTTTTTACAGCGTCAAAGTAGCACTTCTGCTCGGGACAGAAGATAGTTTTGTGTCAGTTTCAGAAATGAAAGTAATATTTACAAATTGAACGAATTTTTCTACATAAAGTAGAAGTGAAGATTTGATAATATCTGAAAATCATGCAGGACTTTTTCTCTTGAGAGACTTTGGGTGCCTTGGTCTCTTGTTTTGTAACATAGAGGATGTGGTAAGGAGAAATGAGAAGAGAAAGTCTGCAACCCTTTTTACAAAAAATGTGTGTGTGCATGGGAAAATAAAGAAAACAGACAAAATCAAATTACAGTACTTTCTAAAAGTTTTCTAACCTAAATGAGAGATTTTAAAATAATACTGTTTTACTATGCTCTTTGAGTTGGCAAGGATTTTATAAGGTACTATATGATTCAGGGTCATGTAGGTAGGTTTGAAGGCCTCCCCCACCCCCGCTAGTGATTCATTGTAGGGCCTCACACATGTTTAGCTGGCATTCTGCCACTGAGCCATGCCCTTTTATTATTTTGTTTTGAGACAGGGTCTTGCTAAGTTGAACTTGCTGTCCATGAACTTGTGATCCTCCTGCCTCAGCCTTTTGAATAGCTGAGCTATAGGCAAGTGCCACCTTGCCCAGCTTTGAGGTTATCCCAATCAAATTCCAGTCTTGAGATACAGTGTTTGGCGAATATTCAGGGTTGAATAATTAAAGATATTATTTTCAGAAGTTTATTCCTGTCTTTTTACTTTTAATAATGGTGAGAATGCTTTGCATAGTTCTGTACTAATATTTATTATTTCTTTAACTTGCAGCGCTCCAAGGTGAAGTGAAACAATTCTGGCTTCTGATCTAAATGTCAAGTGTGTGATCTGTGGTGAGTTAAATTTCTCTGAACCTCAGTTTTCTCATCTTGTAAATGGAGATAATATCCCACAGACTTGAATAGATTAAACAAGGTAATGTATATGAGGAATTCCCAACATGGCTGGGCTGCCTAGAGAGGGACCCTAACAAACTTTAATGTCTTCCTGCTGTGAGATAATGAAGAGAACAAGGGAACCTAGGAAGGTGGAACCTAGCTTCTGATCTCTGCTTCAGCTCTTTACTTTTTAGAGGACCAAAGTTACTCTGATGTACATGTACCAACTTCCCACAAAGGATGTAAACATTATGTACTACATATATCTACTAATAAACTAAAATTTAAAAAAACCAAAGTTTCTTGGCCCCTAAAGGCATCAATTGCCATTAAAATGAGGTTAGAAATGTAAGTCTCTTGCCTAGTGGTTGGATCGAGTAGGCTGTTAAACTTTCCTTAAATAGGATCCCTTTGGTGACATAACTTTGTTCTCTTTAGACATTTACTACTTTTAACTTGTAAAATAGTTGTTGGTGGCAGGGACCTGAGTTTCTGTGTAAGTGAACTGTTTCATCATAAGTCAGGGTGAACATGGAGAAAAGTGGTTAACCCTGTTGATACTGGTTTATTCCCTACTCCCCTTTGGCTGACCTAGGTTCTAGTTTCCCGTAAACATCACCAGTGGTTCAGCTACTGTGAGCTCACTTATTGTATACAACTTCTTCTTCAAATGATTTTCAAAATTAGAAAAAGAGTGTGGATTTTGGGGCTTTTCTATCTTGGCTTCCTTTGGTTTGAGAGATAGTATAGTGTTATGTTTAAGATCATGAACTGTGGAGCCTAGTAGAGGTGATTTGAATCCTTACTTTGACTTAATAAATTTTCATTCAACTACTTATTTACATGTTCCTGGTCAAGTGACTTAATCTTGCTAATCCCGAGGGCTCCAGAGTGGTTATGCCACTTTACACTCCCAGTACCTGTGTATAAGAATTTTGGCTGTTCTGTAGCCTTGACTTGACAAAAGGTAAATTAAATATCTATGTAAAGTTTTTAGCACAGATTCAGACACACAGAAGGCTTGTAGATAAAGTGAATACTACTTTTTCTTTGTACAGAAACTGTTGAATCCCTACTATATGCTGAACACTAGCCTGTTCTCTGTGAATAAAGAAATGAATAAAGACACTCAGTTCTTCATTCGTGGAGCTTCCACAGCTAGGTAGAATTCCATGCTATCAGTTTTAGCATACTAGTGATACATACACATACATATCCCCCTGATGCTGGGTACTGGACTTGGCACTTGCTGGGCAAGTGTTCTACCACTAAACTATACCCTAGCTCATGTTGATAATATCGACTCTCACTATGTAATGTTTAAGGTGTAAAAGGCCTTCTGCTTTCATATCTGCTAAAATGGAGTAAGGGGGGAGTGCATCTTAGAGTTATTATGTTTTGTTACTGCATAGGGAATTGTTATCCAGTGTGGAAAACAAAGCTTTTTAAAAATTGACATTGTGGGAATTCTGATTTCTCAGGCTGAGGTTCCATTCACTAGGCATCTATCCAACTTTTCTTGTGCTCCTGAACTCTGCTGAGAATAGGAGACACAAACATGAGTAAATCCAGGTTCATCCACTGAGAAGCTTCCAGTCTATACATGGCAGAAGCTTGGTGGGGATGTAAGAAGAAGTGATATTGTTTCAACAGTGCTTTTCTTTTTCTTTTTTTTGGTGGTAGTGGAGATTGAACCCAGGACTTCATACATGCTAAGTAGGCCTACCACTTCACCACTGAGCTGTGTCCCCAGCCCTTTTTAGTTTACTTTTACAGGGTCTAGCTAAGTTGCCTATGCTGTCCTTGAATTTTCGATCATTCTGCCTCAGCCTCCTTAGTGCTGGTATTATAGGTACCCAGCTTTCTTTTATTGTGTCGTATTAGTGAGCATAAAATATATATAATGTATGTTACAAGACATAATAAAAGGACAGAAGCAGAGCATCAGACCTGCTATTTTAAGCTCCTTTTGTCCTCTTCCCACATTTTTTCCATTCTTTCAGCCTCTGTAATCATTACCTTGCATTTTGTGTTTGTGATCTTTTGCTTTTCTTCATAACTTTACTACCATTAATATATTTAGCTCCAAATAGTGTGTTTATTATAATTGTGTAAACTTTGTAAAAATGCATCATGCTCTGAATTCTCAAAACTTTTTAAGATTTGACAATACTGATATTTACAGGTGGAGTTAATTTTTCTCTGCTGTACCATATTTTATTGTACACATGTGCTATAGTTTTCTTGTTGGTGGACATGTGGGTCTTTTTTGTTTTATTTTTTTTCTATTTTTTTTTTTTTCCCAGTATTGGGGATTGAACTCAGGACCTTGTGCTTGTGAGGTAGGTGCGGCGCCACTGAGCTAAATCCCCAGCCCTATTTTTTCTATTTCTAATAATGTTGAAATAAACATTCCTACACATATATCTTGGTGCCTCTGTTCATGAGTTTCTCACTGCCTAGAATGGTAGGATAGCTGCTAGCTAGCCATATATGGCACTTACATTAAAGTTAACATTTATTAAAATTAAACAGTAATACAATTTGAGTTCTTCAGTTTTTAGTCACATTTCATGTGCTCAGTAGCCGTGTATGGTTTCTGGCTGCCATCCTCAGCACTGCAGATTCCAACATTTCTATCATTGCAGAAAGTTCCAAGTCTCCAGGTTTTACTCATCTGTATCTCCAGCTCTCAGTAAGGGGAGCAGCACCATAGATTCTGAAGAAGTTGAACAGGCTAGTTGTGTGTTTGGGAGTGGAATTACTATGCTGTGCCGTATTCACATCTCCTCTATACTAGACATTGCCACCTTGTCTTCCAAAGTCATGCCAGTTTACACTCTCACCAGCTGGATATAGGAGTGTTGGCTGCTCTGGATCCTTGCCTTGGTACTTCTTGCTGGGCTGGTTGGGTGTCTTTGAAGGTAGCAGAAAGATCATTCTTCTGGTGTCACAGAGTCCAGCACCAGGTAGTGAAGAGGGCAGCACCTATAAAGGGACAATTGGGGCAGAGGCAGGAATATTTCTTGTGTTGGCTGAAAGGCTCAGAGGACCAGCTCAGATAAAGGAGAGGAGGAAATGGCTGGAGTGGATTCACATGGTTGAAACTTCTCTTTGTCTTTTATGTCCCTTTGGCTGGTCGTAGTACAAGTTTTGACAAAGCGTATCAAATAAACATTCTTTGTTACTGGGATTAATTCACATTTGAGTTTTGGATCTAAATTAGTTTAAAGCTTTGTTTGGGGAAGTATGGTACCTACAAAGCACTGACGTTTTGGACATTGCCTTTCTCTTGAAAAAGACACTTCCACATATGTCATTATTCAAGGGTTTACTTCTAGGTTTATTTCAAAGGAAGCTTATGCCTATTTTAAATAATACTGGAAGTTCTGTGTGAATGTTATTTAGGTTTCAGTGAGTGTCAAAGGAATAAGAATCAGTTATTAGGCTGCTGTGTGCATATGCTGATTATAAGACAAAGTTTGAGAATTGAAGTTTGTCTTTTAGCCTTGAGTTCTCTAGGATTGGTGGAAAGCCTCCCTGCCCCCAACTGCCACCACCTCCAGAATTAAAAGAAAATACACACAGAAAAGTTTCTTCTAGCAATCTCACATCTCCTTTGTAAAAATTATGGCAGATGGTGGAAATGCTACTTTGCTATATATGATACAGATTTGGTGGAATGTACTTAATGGTAATCACAGTGAAGGGAGAGTGAAGGCTAGAGTCATCCCTCTAGCCTCTTCTGGGAACTGTCTTGCCTACTGAGGTCTCAAAGCAGAACACTAGGAGTAGGAATAACAGTGATGATAGCGGCTGACATTTATTGGCCACTCATTACTGCATGACTGGTACCATGGTAAGCACTTTCTACATGCATTTTCCCATCAACCCTCACGGCACCCTGTTGCTTTTCTCTCCATTTTAGAGCAGTTAAATATCTTCCAGGTTTCCCAGCAAGCACATGGTTAACTTGGAGGTACCTTGAACTTCAGTTTTCTTTCCCATTAAGAGTATCCCGAGCCAGGTTTGGTGGCACAGTCCTCTAATCTCAGCATTTGGGAGGCTGACACAGGAGGATAGCTGCAAGTTTGAGGCCAGCCTGGGCTACATAGTAAGCTCAAGGCCAGCCTGAACTAATAGTGAGACCTCGTCTCTAGGGCCGGGGATTTAGCTCAGTGGTTTCGCCGCCTGCTGCGCAAGCACAAGGACCCGAGTTCAATCCCCGGTACCAAAAAAAAAAAAAAAAA